TCAAACACAGACTGGAACCTCTTCTTCAGACTGGATTTAAGTTTATGTTGACAAACTGAGAACAGAACTTAAAGAAGAGAGAACAACATTAGCACTGAAATTATTCCTATTGGTAAATCATCTGTTCTTCCTGCTCTTCTGACTGCAATAAATTAATGATTGATCCATCAGGTTAAATCTTTATAGAAATCCTCTTACTGCTCTGCAGACGATCAGCCAGCTCCTCCTGCTTCATCCTCGTCAGGAAGTTCAGTGTGATCTTCACCAAAGCCTCTCTGATGCTCCTCCTCTGCTCTTCATCCTCACCTTCCGACACCTTCTCATCCTCCGACTGACTCTCCAAGCCTTCTGTATCATCTTGATTCAGAACCTTCTGGATCTTCTTCAGCTCGTTCTTCACAAAACTAACAATGTTTTCCTCCAGCAGCTGAACAGAACAATAAATGAAGGACACATCAGACTGAGATCATGGAGCCAAAGATCGATGTTGAGCAGAGTGACAGTCCTCTGGTCGACAAAGTGCAGCATGGAGATGACTGTGAACAGAACCCATGGAGAAGTAGTTGTAGTTCATGTACAGACCATAAATATGGAGTCCAGCTGGGTTTGATGCTGCTGGGCAGGTGGACCACTGGGAACCTCTGAGTTCTGCTGGATCACTCTGTGGAGGAACCAGGAAGCATTAACTCACATTCTGTAGAACAAAAACAGACAAAGACCAAGGTCCTTGTGGTGTCCTGATCCAAAAGCTATATGTCTTTTCACTTCTCTCAGTGACAACTTTCTATAGCAAAGAAGCTCCTACCTGATTAGAGTTTGTAAAGCTCAGCATTATACAGAGGTGAAAATTGTGTTAAATATCATCCATTATATATCATAGGTTTAACATTTCATAAAATAATTGAATTAATAATGTCAAAATAGAGCAAATATGATTAAAAAACTGTGAAATCAATAACAGCCATTCAGTGATTTTCTTTTTTCTTTAAAATATTTATCTGTTTTAATGACTGACAGGAAGCTGGTGTAACCAGGATAATTTGTTTCCATTTTTGTTGAATTCAGTTTTATTTTTTTTATTTTATTTAAAGATTTATTTAAAATAACATCCTTTTTTCCTTAATTTCTTTAAATTAGATAATTCTGCTCTCAAATGGTTGTATGGTCACAGGACCAGCTGCATGTCATCTTTCTAAATTGACAGCTGCAGCTTATAAGGCTGATGAGTGGCAGCCCAGGTAGCAGACGCTGTCTAACGCTGATGCAGCTTCATCATTGTGGGTTAAAACCTTCCTCAGATCACAGGTTTCACAAGTGGGAACTGGCCAGGTTTCCATTTCAGAATTTTATTCCAGGATCCCGTTCTAGGATCTCATTCCAGAATCCGTCTCCAGGACTCTGAATGTCTGTTGGATTAGACTGGCGAACTAGGCCCATATAACGCACCAAAGGAAATAGCACTTTTTACGTCCCAACCAGGACTGGTTGGATTCCTTGGATAAAGGAACACACCTTGGACTTCATGAACTGTCATGACTGATTTGTCTGTAAATATTGTAAATATTAATACATATCACTAATTTTACACCATTCTGTTGTCTCTGTGTGTTTATACAAAGTTACCACTTCCTCCAGAAGTTGAACTTAAGAATTCTTTCTGATTTAATTTGTTTATTTTTTTCAATCATGCTAAAATTCATATAAGTAATATAGGTTACACTGGACACATAGTTGTTATACCTTAACTGATCAGTTCATGAAAATATCGATGAAGGCAAGTTCATCAGACAGATCAAATTTCAGAGGAAGGTTAAAGGTTTACATCTTGAGATGAATTTGTTTGTTTCATTATAAACATGGCCCAACATCTGCAGAAAGATAACAGGAGGATTCATGGACAGAGAAAATGTTTGACTTCAGTAAGAAAAAGGCTGCAGCAAGACATTTCTTTGTCCTAGATTAAAAACTGTTTTCATATATATAAAAGAAAATCCCAGCTTAAATTTAATATCTTAGATTAAATTTTTGAAGAACAATAAATTTTAGGTATTTCTACGGGTGAATTTTGTTTTTACTATATTCACCACCAGTAAAACTGTTCCTCAATATTTAAATATTTCTTTTTGTTCAAAGTGTCACACTTAAGTCTTTAAATACAATCAGATAAAAAGGGTAGTTCTTTAATTTAAAGGTTTGATTCGACATATGAATTAAAACTGATTAAGAAAACTATCAGAAGCCCAAATCAGGGACAAAACAAGCCTCTAAAGTCTGAACAGGGAACAACTTATTCTGTCATTATTTCTGTAAAATGTTTCATCTAAATTCTGGCTTCAGCAGAATCAGCCTGACCCCTGCTGGACCAACAGGTGAACTGCAGACACTTAGAAACACCTCCAACAATGTTTACCCTGAACTCACTGGAGACTGAATTAGTGGAAAAACATCCAGAAGAAACAAACAGTTTCATTAAAAGAATAAAAAATTCGGAATCAGAAAATTTCAAAATGAGTCATTTCAGTTTCAAACAGTTAAAACATTTAGACAGAGCTCACCTCTTTGCAGCTGAACGTTGGTCTGATTTAAAATCAATACCAAAACCCTTTGACCGGTCACTCTTTAAGGAAACACAGCTTGGTTCTGGTTCTGGTTGGAGGTTCTGTTGGATCCTGAAGGAAAAAGCCTGAATTCAGTCTTAGTCTAATAATGTATTTAAAGTTAAACAGTGAAGCCCAGAACTCTAAAGTGTCCCACAGTGGCTCTAGTTTGAAGTGGATCCAAATATTCCTGGTTTCACTGTAAACCAAATATTAATGATGGATTAATAATTAGCTCTGATGATAATTAATAAGGGATGATGTTTGGGTTTGTTAGCGGGAACTGACCAATAATCAGAAAGTGTGGATGTAGAACAGTGTTTGATGTGTTCTGATCTTCTATCCTGATAAACTTTCTTCCTTTGGATCAGAGTCAGAACTGCTGATAGAGAAACAAGTTAACTTATCTCATAATTGATTGTTTAACTTGTTTTAGTCTTAAACTAATAATCAAACCCCTTTAGAGCAGCAGCTTTATCCTCAGCTGATCATTTCTGAGCTTCTGTTAAGCTTTTTACGGTAATACAGGCCATGGTGGTGCATTCAAGGACCTTTCATTAATGTAGTAATCCAAACTAACTTTCCTATCAATGATTCAACTTGTTATTATCATCAAACTTCCTCCCAGCAGCAGGTCAATGATCTTGTATTTCTGATGACATGTAGCGGCTGCTGAAGGAGACTGTGGAGCAGTTTGCTAATAATCAGACTGATGATCATTTTGAATGAACACAGATGAACTTTAGAAGCTGATTTCACTGATGTTTGCAGATAACAGTGAGAGATCATGTTTTCCATCAGATTTAGTTTGGATGATTTAGTTTCCATCTAATAGTTGAATCAGCATCATGACTTGCCCAGATGTGCAACACCTGAAGCTCTGCAGAAGCACCAACTCTGGTTCTCTAATGTGACACAAGGTGATCCAGAAAGATTGAACTGGATGGAAGAACAACTGATTTTAGCTCCAATATCATCTAACAAGATCATTTCATATCATCACAAAAAAACAATCCTTTGATTATTTCCATTATTTAGCCTCCATCACTCACTGCTTCTCATGTGAACACAGACATGTGAGAAAGAGTTGTGTTCACATTAATATGTTGGAAGGAATCTAAACTAATCAGTGGAACATTTAGAAACAGCTCACCTGTTTGATGATGAAGGTTGGTCTGATTTAAAATTAATTAAGCCATCCTCTGACCTGTTGCTCTTTAAAGACACACAGCTTGATTCTGGTCCAGGTTCTGGTTCTGGTTGTTTCCTGTGAATAAAGATGGTTTGGTGATGTTCATGCTGAGCTCTGACACGGAGAAGAGTCCTGGACAGTTAGAGATGGTGATCTGACCTCTGAGCTTTGCTCTGGTCCTCATGTTCTCCACACAGAGTGGTTTTAGAGGGAGGGACTCTGTCCTCTCTGTCCTCACACTGATCCATGCTGCTCACTTCACATCAGCTCACACACCTGCAGCTGCAGCCAAGAACACAGGATGAAGCTACATTAACATTCACTGATTCCCACCTGTAGTATACAGTAGCTGTTTACCATCTATTACAAAAATAAAGATGTGATACTCAAGAATATCTAACATTAAAAATAAAACAAAGGACTGATGAAATTTGTCAGAAATTGAACCATTTTTAAATGAATCAAATCATTATAATTTGAAAGTAAAGTAAATGAATTTCAGACTCCAACATGATGTTAAAATATTGTTCAGTCAGAGTTCTTCCTGCATTATGGGCGTGCTACGGTGGTGCAGTGTTAGGGCCAACGACCGATGTACGGAGGCCTTAGTCCTTGATGTGGCCTCGAATCCGGCCTGTGGACCTTTGCCACATGTCTCTCCCCCTCTCTCCTAACCCCTTTCCTGTCAGCCCACTGTACAAAAAAACTGAGCTACTAGTGTCATTAAAAATACATCAGAAACTTTGAACATCTGGACCTGATAAATTTCTACACCATCAAACTAATCAGATGGATTATGTGCTCTATTAAAGCCTCAGACAAGGAATTTAATTCAAGGAAACATATTTTAAAGAAATTGATATTTAATAATATTGATGCTCTTATTATGAAAAGCTTCATAGGAAGCAGCTGCTCTGCTTCCTGTTCATATTAAAGGAGAAAATTAAAGTTTGATCTAAAGACCTGAAAAAGAAGCAATTTTTTAAGTGAAGAACAAACATCATCTGCTCCTCATGTTGACTGTTTTAGAAAATAATCTAGTAATCCTGGAGATTTTCCTTTATTTACAGTACAATTAAAACTTTGGTCTGGAATAAAAGCAGAATGTTTTCTAAAAAAAAAAACACAGAAAGCTGAAACAGACTGTCAAACAATGAAACTTCAACTTTTACTATGAAACAAAGTTAAAAAGTTAAACGTACAGCGTCTTTAGGCAAAGCAGAGAACAGACGAAGGTCTGAAGAAAACAGACTGAGAAGGAGGCAGAAAAGGAGAACCAGTAGAACCAGTTTCAGAGGTGTCAAGTAACGAAGTACAGATACTTTGTTACTGTACTTAAGTACACTTTTTAGGTATCTATACTTTACTCCATTACTTACTTTTCCTTCTACTTCTGACTTCAACTCATTACATTTTCACACAAGTATCTGTACTTTCTATTCCTTACATTTTTAAAACAAATGTTACTCGTTACTCTTGGCTTCGGTTTAATGTTTATAAATATTTTTTTCATGTCATGTGCGCCATCCAATGCAGATCATTGGCGCCATCCACATCTAGTGAAAACTAGTGTCATTGGATGATAAAAAGGAGATGAAATATCCTGCACATGCCACTGCAGGGCGTAGATGGCACAGCAAGGACTGCATGTGGTGCCAAAGGGAAGAACTTGCCATTCATAGATCTTTGGCTCCTCTGTTCTCTTAATGTCCTGCCAAATGAAGCGACAGGTTTGTCAGCTGGCAGAAGGCAAATCTGGTGGAACATACTTTTAATGTCCCCACTCACTGCAACTGGGTATTGACGAAACCGTATGAGGACTCCTAACAGAGATAGGCCTAGGGCAGGTCCAGGAAGAAGAAGGTCGTTGAGAGACTTTCCTCCATACTGAAAGGAACAGTTGAACACAATCCTGTCTTTATTGTTTTGTCACACCATGTGGTGTGGTAAAAACCAGGATTCTGGAGTTGATGTTGCTGCCTCTGGTGGTACCACTGCTACGTAGCCCATCTTCTCTAGTTTATGGATCTCTTGACAGTAGACCTCTGCACGCTGTGGGTCTTTGGCGAGTCTTCTCTCTGTACTACGAAGACTTGCAACACTGCTTCCCTGGGAGCTTGAAGAATGGTGGAGTTGGCTCGGCGAAGCAGTGGTGTAGCATATCTTTGTACCCCTTCGACATTTACCCTGACAGTGGATTTCTGAAGCAGGTTTAAGGCTTGCTGATCTTGCTTCGATCGGGTAACCTGCTTCTCACTTGTGTACAGCAGTGTGTCAATCTGCCAGGGGCATTCAACATTCTTGAAGAGTTCACAGGAACGCGATACTGTTGCTGTAAGCAGGCACCGCTGGTTGGATCCAGGAACTTGGTCAAAGTTGGTGCGACCTTGAAGTGACCAGCACAGTTTGGTGTGGACTGTGATAGGCCCCCCAAGGGGTCCCAATTGCACCGGCTCTATCGGTGTCAGGAGATGAGCCATGTCAGATCCAATTAGTAACAAGGGTTGAGCGTGATAAACAGGAGGCAAAGGTAGGTGCTGGAGGTGCTTATATCTCCTTTGGAGGGTTCTCACTGGATATGAATGTTCTGAGAGACTAAGACTCTCAGCAGTGAATGCATCACTTATGTAATTTTTACCTTTAACATCACCTTGGGAGATCTGTTTGGTCTGTCCAGTCGGAGCCGTCACCATGAAGACACTCTTCTGAGATTGCTGGACTGCATCATGTAATACTGTGAGATTTTGATCTTTGCAGGTATTCCACGGTCGCTTTAGGGTGCAAAACTGGTTTATGAGATTCTCCACACTTCCAACATCGATGTCCATCCTGTATCCACCTCACAACCTGGTTGGTGTTCAATTTCTTGAACTCTGTGCAGGCATTTAAGAAATGTTCTTTACTGTCACAGTGAGGACAATATGGTTTGGGCTTGGATGAGGGCTTTGGTTGTGAAGACTTTAGTCCTTTGGGGCTTTGGTCTTCATTGGCAGTGAGGAGGAATGCTGTTGACATCTCCTTTGATCAGTTGAAGGGACATTGGTCCTTCTTCAGTGGCTTGGGAGCTTCATAGTTATAAATCGAAGCTGCTCGACCTGCTATGCGTTTAGCTTGGGATTTGATCTGTAACGAGGAACTCAGATCAGGTAAGGCGTAAGTTTGGTCAGTACCTGTCCTAAGAATACCTTGGTTCAGACAGTGTTCCACAAACCCATCACGGTAGCTGGGAGGCATCTTGCTCAGCAGTCGGTTGACATGAGATACACATCGCAGCTCATAGCCGTTCTGACCCTCCAGGGTCCTAAGCATGCCTACTAGTGATTGGATAGATAGGGCAAAGGCATCAAATGCTTCAGAGTCACCAAACTTGAGTCCTGGAGCATTTAGGATGGCACCCAGTTCACTTCGGATGAGCTGACGCGGTTAAACATACTTATCTTGTAAAGCCTGCATAGCTGCTGTATATGGCCTTGGATCATACATGAAGGCTTTAGCCAGCTGGAGCGCGCTCTGCAGCTTCAAATGTCCAAGAAGCACTTGATATTTGTACTGCTCGTTCAGGTGAACATGGCTGTTCAGAGGATTGTCGAGCACTATCTTAAGTAAAGCAAAGTCGCTTTCTTTGCCGCTCTCAAAGAAAGGAATCATAGGTTTGGGTATACCATAGGAAGGAAAAAAGAGTTGAGAAACATCAGCTGCCTGTGGTTGTTGTTGACTGGATTGAGGCAAGGCTGAAGGGTAGGACGCTGTTTGGACAGGATATGTTATGGTTGACTGAGTCGGCTGATGCTGCGCTGGATAAACTGAGTATGGAGCAGAGACTAGGTTGTAGTCCACTGCCTCTAAACCAGGAAGCATAGATGAAGAAGCTGACTGTAACGGTGGATGAAGAGGTGAGGGTGGACATTGCCCTGGAGGCGGGGCCACACTCACTGGAGGTGGAGCTGCAGGATGCAGAGCTGGGACAGTGAGAGGCAGAGCTGCACTCACCAGTGGTGGAGCTGCAGGGTGCAGGGCTGGAACAGTGAGAGGTGTAGCTACACTCACCGGGGCTACAATGGGCTGAGCTCCATGGACCATGGGAGGCGTAGACACAATCACTGGTGGCAAAGCTAAGGCTGTGGTAGGTAGGGCTGCATGAAGTACTTGAGGCGGAGCTACAATTACTGAGAGTGGAGCTGCAGCTGTAGGAGGCGGAGCAGGACGTTGCTTTGCTGCAGGTGGAGCAATAGCCATGGGAAGAGGAGCTGGAGTTGGCTGAGGCACAGGGTTACTTATGTTGTGCTGATCTGGTGGATGTGGGGAGGATCCAGTGTCACCAGAATCCTGGGATCTCACTTTGAGGAAAGAAGTAACCATTTTAGCTATCTCCAGCTCATTACATTTCTTCTTTAGCTGGCGTCGTTTCTCCATCTGTCTTGCCAGCAATTCTTGTGCTCTGATGGCTTCCTCTTGTAGCTGTTGGGCTTCTCTGGCTTGAGTTTGAAGCCTCTGACGCTCGTTATCAACTTGTTGATCCTCCTCTATTGTCTGCTGTAATTCCTCAAGCTCCATTTCCTTCACTCGTTCTTCAAGTTGAGCTGTGTCTAACTCTGATAAGATGTGAGAGGAGAATCTGCTGGTGGTTGAGCGAGATGAGCGAGATGAGCATCTAGACCTGGGGTTGGAGCTCCTCCGAGACATGCCTGTTTTCCGGCTATGTGAACTCTGGATGGAGGTAGCCGGGTGTGTGGTGTGAGTTTGTCACTCTGAAGGGAGAGTTGCAACCACATAGTCACTCAGGTAAGCTGGTGGATATCACTCTCTCTGCGAAGCACGTTGGGGTGCTGGCTCAGTTTGGGCATCTGCAGGATCCATACTTTGATATAACTCTAACTCGGCTCGAAGGACCATAAAAAGGAGATGAGGCGTTCTCCAGGAGCGTATCGGGAGATGGAGATGGAGACCAACAAGACCTCCCTCATCCTTGGCCCTATCTCAGAGAATTTTTAGAAACAGTCGAAAAATTTAGCTTTCAATTTGTATAGCGACATCTGGCTGTTTTTTTTAAATGTTACTTTATAGTTTTAAACATTAAGTAGATTTTGGAGCACATACTTTTTCACTTTTACTTGAGTAAAGAGGTCAAGTTGACTTCAACTTTTACCAGAGTGTGTTAAATTGCAGTATCTATACTTCTACTTAAGTAACAAATGTGTGTACTTTTGACACCACTGACGAGTTTAACTGCAGTCAGAACTTCACCTGAGATGGAGAATGGGCAGGTAGGAGGAGTTAAGGGGAGGGACAGTAACCATGACAACACAACATGAGCTTTCATTTTTGACTCACAGGGATGGTTCTGACTTTTATGGATAATATTTGTGGTTACATTTTAGATTTCCTTCTGCTATTTTCTCTCTTAGTTGATGTTCAGTAATTTCCATCAGTTTTTATTTTTACTTTTATGGTTCTATTTGTTTTTATTATTAGATCCCCTAAAAACCTAAATATAAGGAATTAGGATTCCTAGTCTTTTGCTGAATATAATGATTACTTCTATGAAACTGGATCACTGAATATGATCTATATTGATATGAAACTATATTGATAAACACATGATGTAACAAATGCAATAAAGCAGGAAAACAGAGAATAGAATCTGTCCATCTGGAGCCCAGTTAGGTTATAGAAAAACCCTGATAGAGACATGGATGAAGACAGGAGGCTGGAAAACACTGCAGATGATGGATCAGATTCTGGGAAGCAGGACATTCTCCATCTATTCCCCCTTTAGGAGGTTTTTAATTTACATGTTGATTATGGTTCAAGTTCTATTTTCATTTTAATGCTATTTGCAGCTTTAATGCTGTAAATATCAGAGCTCTAAAAATAATCAGCTGCTCATCGAGGACTGAGGTTCAGTTCAGTTTATATCACCCTGTCTGAAATTATAATTTAGAACAAAACTAGACTGAGTCAGTTTATTTTATTGCTTCTCTACCAACACAGTGAGAAAATTATGAAATTTGACTCATTATCTGTTCGTAGAAATGAAAAAATATGGTTTTAAAAGTTATTTTATTGCATTTAAAGAAAATAATAATTTCATTCTTTTACTTAAGTCCACTGTAGAGCCTGTACTTTTTATATTTTCTTTACTAAAGTTGTTCAATCAGTAGTTTTAACAGCTCTGAATGCTGATCAAGCTCTGCACTGGAGGCAGCATAATGCTGCCATTGTTGATCAAGCTCTGCACTGGAGGCAGCATGATGCTGCAACTTCCCTCTTATCAGAGACGTTCCCTGAGCTGGTTGGATGTCCTGATGCCTCTATTCTGCAGCTGAACTTCTCAGATTAAACTTCAGTCTGACTTAGTTTCCATCTAACAGAGGTTGATGATGTTTAATCATGATTATAGCAGCTAGTAACAGATGATTCTCCTTGGATCTGCTGCTCTAGGATCATTACTGAAACTTACAGGAAGACCTTTGGGACAGCTGGAGGATGGAGACTCTGCTCAGTTCTCCTCTGTGTTCATAACTATAACTAATGGTCTCTGCAGACATGAAGTCAATCTGAGAGGAAAACAGAGACTCTCAGTAAACATATGGTTCAGTCCCAGTGTTCCCAGTTAGCTGCTCTCTGATCTGTCCTGTAGAGCAGGAGGCTGATTCTATTCTCAGTAAATCTGACAGTTTATATTCAATCTTCTATAGAGATGAGATAAACAGGAGACACTGTGGATGCAGAGCAGGACTGAAATGGAAAGAGAGAAGGAGGAAGTTCAACCATCTCCTCCATCAATCATACTGGTGAACATGAGATCTCTGGCAAACAAAATGGTTGAACTTGAAGAGCTGATAAAGACTCAGCCACAGTATCAGGAATGCAGCCAGTGAGCATTTAGTGCTGAAAATACATGTTATAAAATGCTGCAGTGAAGAACCCAAATGCAGAAGGTGGAAGGAGGGAGGCAGGAAAGAGGACAATAGAAACTACAGAAGTTGGGAAGAAGATGAAAAATAGAAAAACATGGAAACAGGATTTAATGGAGTTAGGATCTGACTGAGAACTCATAGAACGATCTAAGCTGGAGAACCATGAAACTAAAATGACAGGTGAGTTATTGAGGAAACGGGAGACAGCTGGGTGACAGCAGGGAGCTGAGACATTGAGCGAAGGTACTGGATAAATCCTGGAACACAGAAAATAATCACTAACAACACATGGAAAACAGGAGCAGATCTAATGCAGCCCAGGAACACAGAGACTCCTGATAGTACAGATGGTGACATTACCATGATGAAGATGAAACAGGAAGGAGGGAACCAAGAAAAGGGAACAAAGCAGGAACAATCTAGAAATGTAATCTAGACAGGGGGGTCTTCCTGTTATCCTGCCACTATCAGCCAGGTGATCATCACATCCTGACCTTTACTGCAGTCTGATACTGTTTTTAGAGAAACATTCAGTGACGACATGAGGAGGAACAGGGTCTGCAGGTTCTGGTCAGACGAGGCAGAACAAGTTTATCTATACGTCACATTTCAGTAGAAGGATGATTCAAAGGGCTGTTTAAAGTAAGAAAATACACAGGGAAAAACACATTGTGTGAAACTTACAAGAGAATAATAAAAGGATTGAGGAAATATGAAAGGAGACTAAAACTAATAATGTTTAGATGGTTCAATCAAAGGCCGCTCTAAATCTAAAGATTTAAAGCAACTGAGGGTTTCAGCTCTTTTCCAGTTTTCTGGGAGTTTTTCCAAGATTAGTGGAGAATAAGAACTAAAGGCTGATTCTCCATGTTTGGTTCTGCTTGTGCAGAGTAGATTAGATCCAGTAGACCTGAGAGGTCTGGCTGTTGATCACCTGCCATCCAGTCTGTAATATAGTTAGGAGCTCAGCCATTCAGTGATTTCTAGACTAAGGCCCCGTCCACACGAAGTCAAAACGAACACGAAACGCTGATATTTTCCAAAACGTTTGCCGTAAAGGCGGAGACGTAAAATAAATGTGATCGTCCACACGAATGCATGAAAACGCTGCAAAATGTATGCCAGGCCTGTAAGTGGCGCTGTGGTGCCAAAGCAAAANGCTGAAACTGAATTCTCTCTTGCAAACTCTGACCAATCTGTAATGGGTATTCACATTTTGAGTCAGGGGAAATTAGTGACACAGATAATGACTGAGGTGGGGAACTGAAGCTAGATTTCACCATAATTCGCCTCAGATATTTGATTTCACTTCATATAAAACTATCCTTTTTGAATGACATTATTTGACCTGCAATGTCAGTGCGATATATCTGCTGGTTGCACTGCTCAGCTGACCTGTTGGTCAAATAAAACTATTGCAACAAGGATGATGTAAACATCTGAAACAAATAATGGTGCATAATTAGTACTTTGACTATTCTGGACACTTTAAATGGGAAAATTAGGAGAAAAACCTGTTGTTAAAGATCCCTCATAATAATTGGCCCATAATGATGAGAAGGTTACAGTCCCTAGAGCTTGAGTGTCAATTTAAAATTCCTAAGGGCCGGTAACCTGTAACTTTTAGATGTGTCACTGATCCAACAAATCTGAATCAAATGGCTTAATTACCTCCTCAGCATGCGGTTAAGCTCTGCTGATAATCTTATTATTTGATTCAGGTGTGCTGAAGCGGTGACACTGACTCTCGAGAAAAAGCCTGAGGTGTCAAACTCCAGTCCTCTAGGGCCAGTATCCTGCACAGTCATCAACATATTTATCTCTTTCTCACAGGGTTTATATGCAGGGTGGTAAAACGTAGTAAAAGGTGGTAAATTGAATGAACTAGAAAAAAAGGCCATTGAAAGGTAGCATCAGGTAACAAACAGAACTTGACTTGGTAGTCATTTTTTTGTCACTCCTTCAATTGATTCTGACTTTTCCATTGATGCTGAGTTTATGGTTTCAAGTTCTTTTAGTCCTTAAAAAAATAATAACCATATGCTATATATGATTTCAATAAACTGATTGCCTTAAAACTATTAAAGTTTTTTAAGTAAGACTACGAAGTTGAACAGAAAAATCCAATGAATTAAAATGAAATACATTTAATATTTTTGTTAAGATATCATTTTAATGTACAGTTTTATTCTGTAAGTTGAATTTAAATCCAGGACGGCTCCATTAAAGAGTCCTCTTGAAGCTTTAATGTAAAAAATTTAAATCTAGGTCAATTTTTTTCAAAAATAAGTGGATTTATCAGGTAAGTGAGATACTGTGCCAATGAGATAAAACAATTTACATTTAAAATAAGTAGAAAAAACTGTTGTCTCTTAAGTCAAGTGCATAATATCTAATAATCATACTTTAAGGGTGAAAATGCTCATTATTTCACTGGGATTGCTAGATTGATCACGTTCTCAGTTAAACTGGACTTTGTTCACTCTCTTCCCAGTGGTTGCTATTGGATACCATGTAATAGTTTTGATCAGCTGCCTTATTTAAATACAGAAAGAGTTTCATGTAGTGCTGAGCATCAGCCATTTATTGTTGAATGTGTACGTGTTAAGTACCAAACATAAGGGGGAGCCTTGTACATAAAATTTAAAGTATAGCTTGGTTTTGTGTGTGAATGTTTTTTTTATATAAATTAGAATTTGTTTTTTTTTTGTTTTTTTTTTCTTGCTTTACTCCATTTTTGGCTGTGTGGCATACATTCACTTTTAGTATGGATCCTAAGCAATGAGACCACAGGCCCTTCATGTCTTGTGAACAAGCTCTCCTGTCAGTAACCTAAAGTGAAATCTAAAACTCATGATGCTTTATTTTCTCTTTTTTTTTCCTGTCTTAGCACTTCTTCATTAACAATTTGTTTTAAAATGCTTCCTTTTCTCTCCCAAATAGAAAACCCAAAGGTCTCTCTAACATCAAGCCCAGCCTTTGAAACATGGTACCCTAAAGAATTGATTAACTTCAAATGCAATGTCGATGTGCCCTCTAGTTGGACATATGAGTGGTATCAGAATGGGAGTAAAATTCATGAATCCACCATTAATAATTATAAAGCAGCCCCACTGACTCATTCCAGCAATGGCCAATACCAATGCAAAGTCAAGAGAAGAGGAGGCCAACTCTACACAAGTAATGATGTATCAGTAAAAGTTGCTGGTAAGCTCCCATGTATGCTCAATCTGTCGCAATGTCTTTATGCATTATAATAAAAGAATATTCTTTGAAATAGCTGTGATTACATGAGTTTGTGTAGCCTTTAATCTGCAAACATCTTCTGAATGCACCCTTTCAGAACCACCTACCCCGATTATAAAGCTGGAGACCTCCTGGACTGATGTGTTTAAAACGGAAAAGTTGAGATTCAGCTGTACAGGGCCAGACTCCATATGGACACTCACCTGGTACAAAGACCAAAAGAAACTAGAAACAGAGGGATCAGCTCTCAATATTGATTCTGTCACAAAAGATGACAAAGGGGTATATACATGCAAAGCTGAAATTAAA